TGAAAATATTGCATGCCTCTCAATCTTCTTCTCGGTTATACCTGCGCTTGTTACATTTTATATTTGAATACTATTGGTGGTTTCTTGTATTAAAATGTGGAAGTGGGTATAGTAACCAACTGACACTCATTGTTGCAAATATGTAACAAACCCTTTGTAAATACCTAGATAGCATGTGCATTCCCTCAGTGCCAGTTATTACACTTAATGAACAGGAACCTTTAGTCCCTAATTGTATATGTTATTATATTTATACACACATATGTACATAAATTTGGACATCAAGGGGTTAAGAAGTAGATTCAGTTGAGGTGTGCCAAATAAAGGCCTAGGTATCAGATGCACCTTCTACCACTGGATGGTTTACTACTATTTATCCTTTTAGCTCTGTTCTTTCTGCCATGTATTAGAACTTTGATTAGAGCCATCTTCCTTTTGGGGCCTCGACTTTTCCTGTAGATGATTAGTTCTGATAAAGTTACCACTGGTATCATAAAAAAAAATAATGTATGGCAAGAAAGTTATGAGAAGGTCTTGGTGGCAACACTGGCATCTTTGTTTGCATGTTGGGGAGATAGAGCCGACAGTGGGGAAAAGTTTTGCACCTGATCTATTCAGGTGAGACCCACGGCTCTTCAACAGTTGTCTCTTTTCCCAGAAGATATTAAAGTTGATCTCACAGAGCAGACTCCTTAAATCCAATCATTTAGATTGCAAAAACTCTAATTAAGACTTAGTCTTCTACTGATGGAGAACCAACAGCCCCACTGATTAACACCTAAAATTTGTTTGTTCCGCAGTGTTAAGCAGAATATTCACATCTTTCTGGAATATTTCTGACTCCATCTTGGCAACAATATTCAGTCCTCCAATGGGAATGACTAAGTTCTTCATAGTTGGATGTAATTCTGAAATCCATCTCCTCTCTGAGATTTCAGACACCATACTACAGCTAACATTCACTACATCTGTGTTTTTCTGTTGCAGAAACATTTAATCTAATTAATTACCCATTAATATTAATGTTCTTGCAGCTGGTTTGTTATGAGACTGTTTTTTGGGGAGAGCTTAATGTCATCATGCTTGGTATTCTTTCCAACTCAAATAGATTTTTTTGTAGTCTTTCATAAACTCTGTTGCTTATTTTGTAATGATTTTTTTGTTGTTGTCTTTTCTAGTGTACCAAAGCCACTTGATTATCCCCAGTTCTGGGCTTGCTTAAAAGCAACAGGTTGACTAAATATTTAATTTATATGTATTTTGTTGCTTTTCTACCTTTTTGTGAATTTTTCAACATTTCTCTCTTGTCCTTCTATGCTGCAGATCCTGATTACCTGAGAAAGTTATTAAAGTTTGTTGATGACAATAGAGACCAGTGTTTCACCTTAAAGAACCCACCTGGCTCCATTCTGAGAATAGCAAGGCTTGAAGACACCATTTACAGAGATCAACCTGATGTAGTGGATGATTGGGGGATGTTTTACCTCCCTTGGGAAGTGAAGATGCAGGTTATAGGTGTAGTAGAAGGTATATCATGTCCATCTGATGAGCTCGTACTGATGACATGTGAAGATGGAAAGCTGTACGGCTACAATGGAGAGGAGCTCCACTTGGTGGCTCAAAAATTAGAGCAGCTCAGACAAGGGAAAATCGAGTATCCATCAACAGAGAGTTACTACAACGGACAGGCTTTTGAAGACATGGTAGAAGAAGTTTTCTAAGAATCTGCTGCTGAGTCCTCCAGTAGAAGCTGGTTTGCTAACTGTTTCTGTCTCTGTTTATCTCCTGTTTCTTGCAGACTGAAGAGGATTGGGCAAAGGTTAAACAGGGAACTGTGGGGAAGAAGTTGGATCAAGAGCATAAGAAATTTGTGGAGTCAAAAAAAAAAAAGTTCCTGGAAAACCTTAAATCACAAAAATCCAAATGATTATCCTAATATGGGCCCATATTTAGAGGTGAACATTCCAAGTCCAGAGAGAAAACATTGCTGCATTCGATGGGGAAAAATAAAGTTTGTTTTTTCTTATAAGAAATGTTATTTTTCAAGCAGCGAGGTTTTATTAATTATTGCAAGAAAGAACCACGAGCCATCAGCATCACCCGGAAGTTATCTTCGCTCATTTTATGTCCACAGCAACGAGAATATGTTGTCTATTTTTATTGTTTATAAAAATGATAAGACTTAGGAAACAGTGCATTCCACATTGTGTATAAAAAATAAAAATATATTTTTAATAAAACAAGCTTTTTTGGACCAAAAAGTACGTTTTTCTTATATGCTTAAGTTTACATCAAGCTTAAACACACATCGCAACCAAGCAGAGGAATAGACTGGATTTAGAGAGCAGCCTGGGATCTGCTGTTTTCCCACATCTGAGCTCATCGAAGCAGCTCAGGTGTTATGAACGTTGAAAACAAAGTACAACAAATGGAGCGACGCTGACTATAACATTTTTTTCAGTATTTTGTCCCCTTTTTCCTCAAGATGATATGTTATTACAATGGAGTCATTCAGAGGAGCTCCAGTTTTATAAAGGCAGATATATAGCATGGTTTTATTTTGTATTTATTTTGAAACCTTATTAGCTTCCAAGCAACATATTTATGTTTTCTTTTTTTTTTTCAGTTGGAAAGAATAACGTGGCAAAAAGAAAAAAAGCTCAAGTTAAAAAGATTAAAGGATTTTTATTTTATAATCCATTAATTTACGTTCCACTTTTGGACAATCATCAATACTTTTGACTAGGGGGTGTACAAAATGAAACTAAAAGAATATTATGATCAACTGTGTCGAATGCAGCACTGAGACCTAACAGGACAAGTGCAGATACATTTCCATTATCTGAGGCCATGAGAATATCATTAATGACTTTCACCAGTGCTGTCTCAGTCCTATGCCGAGCTCTAAAGCCAGACTGAAACTCTTCAAAAAGTTCATTATCGTATAAGTGTTGCACACTTGTTTAGCAACAACTTTCTCAAGAACTTTAGATAATGTCATGATGGGTTCTCAAAGAGCGACCCAAGTATGCAGAACACCACTGACGGACACAGGAATAAAAGTTCAACAAGTTTATTTTGATACAAGCACACAGAATGTACTGGTTCTGGCTCGGGCCTGGACACTGGTTCACCGGAGTCTGCGTGAGAGACAGTTCAGTTAGCGTTGCAAGTTGGAGCTTGATTTCTTGATGATCACTGATTGTACCTTGAGGGTTCTTGAGGCTAGCTTTGGGAGAGTCAC